TTTCAAATTGACAAAATAATTAAGGACTCACACAAAAATGACAGATCAGAAATGATGTTCAGTATATCATTTGAAAGTCGTGTAAACTATGCTCTGTGACATCCTGATTTAGTTTCATGGCAAGATATCATACTTTTGCTGTCAAGATGACATTAAAAATGGATATTATTTGTGGCTTTGGTTGTCTCTAATCAAAATCTGCTTGGGTTCTCCTAAAAGTTTAGGCCATTCTCATAAAAAACTCCTAGAAGTTTGGATATTTATTTATTTAAGTGTCAAGCAAAGGTACCTTGCACAGCTATCACGGTAGCTGTTATGGAAGTCCCAAATCTCATTGTATCTGTCGCAGAATATAATGACAATAAAGGCTTTTTGACTTTTGACTTTTGACTTTGACACACAGGGGTTATAAGACAGCACACACAGAAGTTCTGAATTTTTAAATCTGCTGAACACATTTTTAGTAGCTTTGTCTTGCTCTGTGTCTCTGCTCAGGAAATATAACAAATGTGTGAAATTATAGGGCATTTCTGAGGTGCCTTGGAGTTATTTTGGGTGAGTTTTCCTCCCAGGTCAAACAAATGCATTACTTGCTTGCAGGAATTCAATCAACAGTGGCCAGTTCAGTGAGTGTTGTTGCAAATTAGACACCGAAATGTTGCCAAATTAGGGGTTTGGGCTTTTAGGAGTCTTTCTCTCCCAGCCGTCTCTGGAGAGACGAATGTGTTGGCAGAGGAAGCAGCTTCATTTTCATCCCTCCCAATCAGAGAGGGACAGAGCCAGCCAGGGGGACCCAGGGGGTCATTATGCTTCCCTGTTGTATTTTATTTATTTACCCTTTTATGGGAGTTGACTTATAGAACCCCAGCACCTCCTTAAATGTTTGATTGATTCATTGTTTCCGAAAGATGAGAAGAAAAAAAAATTACTGAGATAAAGTAGAATATATTGGAGCTCCCCCATCCAGAAAATAAGCTCCATTAGAGCCCTCTGTCTCTCTCTTGTCTCTATATTCCTCAGTGTCCCTCTCTCATCTCTCATCTGCCTCGTCACGGCCTGACGCCTCAAAATACAGCCACAGAGAAATGACAAACAAAACACCAGCGGTTCTCACTTTTTCCTCTATATATTTTTTAACCTGGAAGAAAAAAAAAAAGAAAAGGGCCGGATCTGAAAATTACTTTTGACTGAAAGCAGCTTGGTGTAGTTGCACCCAAGAATACAAATGAAGCAAATCTCCTTAAGCAAACAGTAGCTGGACAGATGTGGGAGATGTTTTTTTGTTTTTGTTTTTTTAGAGTAGCTTGTGATTGTTATTCGGCATTTACTTGTTTTTCTGATTTCAGAAAATAATTATGTCTCACACTACAGCGTTATAGTAAACAGAAGGTGCAGGGCATCTGCAGAAAGTTTAGTAGGACAGAGGCCAATAAAAATCTTTCACATTGGTATGCCAGAAATTTATTCAAAATTTTTGCTGTTAATTACTTAACAATTATTAAATTAAAAAATAAGCTTATACCTTTTTTGACAGCAGGTGGCCATTACCCCCTTAGACCCCACACAAGTTAAAGCAGCGAGGCGAGAAAAACAATTAGGCCTTATTAGCTCAAAACAGCCAAATTCAAGCATGATTACAACTATTTTCTACAGGTTTTAAAGTTTCACTCGGATTGGTTAAAATATATGTTTTTATTTGTGCAAATTCAATTTCTGCATCTGCTCACAATGTAAAGGCCACAGCCTTGTGTGCTTAATATTCAGCATACCTCTATTACCATTACAATGCATGACTGTGAAATTTGGCTCATTATCATTAAAATTTCCTGGATTCTTTTTTTTTTTTTTTTTTTTTACATAAATGTTAGTTGTTGCAGATAGTTCTCCTTTGTAATCAAGAACTTATTCAGTTGATTTAGGTACAAACATAAAACCCCAGAATATTTCTTAAATTCTTAAATTTCCAACAGCCAACTTTCTTAGAAAAAAATAGGAAGAGGTTTGGGTGTTGTAGGTAAACTTTGATTTGGCGCACAGGCACAAGCAAGGTTCAGCTTACTCCCTGCTGAGCTGAACTTTGGGCCTTTTTACGCACCAGCAGCAGCAGCAGCGCACAGAGGGGAGAGATGTGCACATCCAGAGTCGCGCAACAACATTTCCACGCGTCACACTCGATTCCCCACGACCTCTTCCCCTTCCCACATTTGACAATTTCTAAGGTGTAATCGTTTTAAAGCGTCTCCGCGCACTGACATATATAACTTTAGCTCCGCTGGTTCACCGCCATCCCTGTGGATCATTGGCTTCTGGTGAAACGGCGCGGAAGAGGAAACATGATTCGTTCTACCTCTCAGGCATGTGTAGGTTTTTTTTCCTCCTTCTTCTTCCTTTCTCCCTTTTTAATCCAGAAGGGTAACATGGAGTGGGTAGTTATCAGTTACACTCTATAGATGTATGAAACTAACCAGCAGCAGAAAAGAAACGGAGGAATAACCCAACAGAAAATGATAAAGGAAGCGCTCATAGATGTTTTAAGTAAAAAAAAAAGAGAAAACCAAAGAAATTCGATTTTACAATGCTAAAAAATTAATTGAACTAACTAAAATATAGAAAATAAACAAAATGTGCATTTATTCATAATTTTAATAAAATGTAACTACTGCTAAAACTTCTCGCCACAAAAATCTAACAGTAGTAATTAATTAAAATGTGTAAATTGAAATCTCCCATGCTTCACAAACATGCCCCTAACTTCGGTTACAAACATGCATATGCCTAAAAACCATCTTTCTCTTTCTTATATGCTAAAAAAGAAATAAGTTGCTTACAGTGTAATTAGATTTTCTAAGTTTGAATTGCTTAATACCTAAGTTATAGATAGTTGGATAAAATAATTAGATTAGGACAAATAATGGAATCCTATTTAGTTAGATGTTGATGATTTCAATATAACATACATGATAATTATCTTTAAATCTTCTAGAAGGAGGTGGTGTATAGGCCTAAAACTTTTACTTGAAGCTATATGCTTTGGCACTTGTTTTATGAAGAAGATCCTGGGCTTGCCAGCAACTTCAACTTTAGCATTAGATCTGTTTCTAAACCAGCTGGATACAATTTTAAACCTCCACATTTTCTCAGAAAGACGGCAGCTCTTAACTTTTACCAAGTAACTATATTAATTGGTTTTACAGATATTGATATCATTACACATCTCCAATGAGATTAATCGATTGGTTTTCAGTGCTCAACATATCCTTTAAAAAACAACTAATATGCTTAAACAGATGTTCAGTAATGGTTAGTATTTATCACTTTTCAAAATCCGTTTATACAGTGCATTTCCTTAGGAAATTCTCTTCTAAAGATGAAAAAAGACATTCAAAATGTGCTTGGCCATTTATGCTTGAAAACGATGGAAAGAAAAGATTACAATAGGTACTTTAGTTTTGTTTTTTACATTAAAGACTTTTATTTTGTTTCATTTAATTTTTCTCATCAGTAAGACCAAATAACCAAGGAGTGTCCGCCATGTCATTACTGAAAGCCTATTGTGACCCCCCAACCCTCCCCCTCCACACATTCAGTTCCTTCTGCATGCAGCAGATGTTTGGCTCAAATGTTCTCTATCCAGAATGTGACCTGTTAACAGAAGCTGCATGTGCTCTAACCTGTGGCCATAAAAAAAAAGGAATTTGGAGGAATCCATATACAACCTATAATTAAGGATTAAATTAAACATATTCATTAGTCTGCGAATCATTTATTTATTTTTGCAAGTTAATTTGAATACAGCAATAGATATTGGTTATGTCAACCATTTAATCATTTTAGAAGTGTAGCAGCAGAAGAAAATAAAATCTCTGAATAATTATATCAACTTAAAAAAAAACTAAAGTCATTAGAGGTGTTTCAAAACTCTTCCCTCTGTATGCTGCTTCAGCTTCTGCTGAAGAGAAATAAGGAAGAAAAGACAGTCCTTGATATTGGACAGGACATCCAATATCCAGTTATGTTATGCCACCTCTTTGGAACATAGATTTATTTTTAGCTTTTTTGCCATAATAAAAAAGGCCATTTTTGTCAGTATAAGTAGCTGAATTCTTCTTCATAACTGTCTAATTTAATTTAGTGAATAACCCACACTTAAAGATAGACTGAGGTTTTTAACTCCTTCTTGGAGCGCTTCTTAAATCATTAATTTTCCAAATCAAAGGAATGCAAATCGTTTATCTAGTTTTCCTGGTAAAATAAGAAAAATCAAACCAGATTTCTACCCCTTTGTACTAAAGTAGCGGTGGTACCGTTTGTGGATCAAGTTCAGCTTTTAGTCATGCTTTGTTTGTTACACCACGGGGTCGCTCTCTCTCTCGCGCGCGCTCTCTCTCTCTCTCTCCTACTCCCTCCCTTTTTTGACCTCTGCACCTCCTCTTTCCTTCAAACCTCACACCAAACCCTCTGATACAAAGCAGCAACAGCGAATACAACACAAAGCAGGCCTGCAGAGACCGCACTTCATCTCTCTATTCAGAGAATAACCAAACTCCTGCCAAACGTTCCCTATGCGCCACATCCAAAGAGCGCATGCCAGAGAAAACATCATATACTTTAAATAATTCAAACTGGGGAAGTTGGGTTATTAAACAACAAGTAGGACGATTGAGTATGCTGCAGTAAACTGTTTTATTTTTGGTCAAAAAGACTTCGAGTGGACCATATAATAAAATGTTTCATAGCATGCAAAATAAATCTAATGAGACTGAAATGAGATGTTTGGGATTTTTTTTATATGATCCTGCATTTTTAAAGCAGCAGATGGGGGGCGAGTATATTCGTCCAGACTTTGCATCACAGCATGATATACTGAAATGTTATAAATGTTTATGACTTATGGTTACATTTTAATTTAAGTGAAAAGTAGCCTAAAATGTCGGTTGTCTTTGCGCTTTTTGAAGTGCAGTTGGAATCATGCAGATGAAGCGATGACCGCATGAACTTACTGTGCATCGCCGCGAACGGGTCGTGCTTACAATGAATCTCCATCGGTACTGAGAGGGGGGGGTCCTGGGGCGTTGGGGGGTCGCTTTAAGCAAATAGAGGTTCTTAAAAATAACACCCGCTTTGGTCTTCCACTTTACGGGCTCTAGTAAAAGATGGGATCTCCAAAGAGTAAACGAGACTTTCCTTCAAAAATGTTTTTCCTTGTTAAAAAAAAAAAAATCAAATTTCAATGAGCTGATGAAATATAAAAAGAATTAAAGAGGAAGGAACAAATGGAATCACGACAACGGGTTAGTGTTGTGTCCCCTAAACAGAATAAGGTATGGGTTCCTTCCTTCTCCTGCGCGTCAAGTTGCGCCAGTCCCAGGACGACAGAAAATTCAAAGTTTTTTTGTTGTTGTTGTAATTATTAATCCAAAAAAAAGGAAAATATAGTATAAAATATGACTGCTCAGCTCTTTTTCTCTTCTCGGTCCGTTGACCGTGACCCCCTTGGACTTTTACCAATGGAGGAAAAACTCTTCTCTCAGTTTGACATAAAGTAATGAAAAAAATAGGCGCAAGAGGCAGAAATATTCGTTAAAGATCCAATGTGTCCTGGTTCATCTTTGCACATTTCCTTTTTTTTTATAATTCGTCCTTGGCAGCGCTTCTCGCATGAGCATCCCCCTTCAGTTCAGCATCTGAGTGCGGACAAGCGGTCACATCAAGCGGCGTCATATCCAACAACAACAACAAAAAAATGTCACATGCCAAAATAAAAAAATACAGTGTTGAAAATAAATAAGTAAAATCACTCAAAAACCAGAAGAAAAATAATGCACTTTGAGGTTCAGGTAAAATCTTTAGACTTCAGAGGTTTCTTCTCAGTCACCTCCGGAGTGGACCAGGACTCGCTGCACACACGCTCCCGTCAACTGAGTGAGTTTCGGAGGCAAATCTCTTCAAGTCAAATTTCTGAAGCTATTTTGGCTCCGAGCTCCTGTCTAGGAGACAGAAATCACATAAACCAGCTTTTTTTATAACCACAAAATGACCAGCCTGCCTGCGCGCAGCATCCGGCGGCGGCGCACAGAGCGTTTCAGGACCTGCTCTCTAGCGGACAGCGCCCGCTCTCCCAGCCCCCTGCAACCCTAACCTGCGCGCTGCCCGTCACTCACCGCGAAACCAGCCAATGACGAGCCGTGCGCTACGGTGACGTCAGCACCAACCCCGCTACAGCGCGGTGTGGGCAGAGAGGGGGGTGGGGATCGGTGATTGGCTGAAGCAAATCCTATCCGCCAATGACACCAGGCATGCTTTGGCCCTGTACCAATGGCGAGTCTCGGTGAGGCATATAGTAAATTATCATATTTTTTTATTTCAATTAACAAATCCTATATAAAAAAACGTAGAACCTTTATTATTAGTTGCTCACAGCTTATTGGTTTTATTGTCTAATGGCTGATTAAATAATACAACTGAGGCTTTTTTTTTTATCAAGAAATACTTGCCATTCTATATTAGAGATGGTAAAAAAATTAAAAATTAAATGAATAGAAAGGAATAAAATACGCCAAAAGTGAAAATTATATAACAAATTCAATCTATCAAAAATCATATTCATATTTCGGCCTTCAGGGGTAAGAAGGGCCAAGGTGGACCAGTTTTCTTAAATAATTCCTCTTTCTTCTGTCAACCTCCTCCACCTCGAGGAAAGGGATCTGATTAAAAACATATTAAACATGCATCCCCTTCTCATTACCTAATTGATCCAAACGTATGTATACTTTTAATGAAGCGCAAACACACACTGCACAGTGCCCGTGGTAGAAGGGATGCTCGATATTCGTCCCAGATGATTTGCAGAGGCCCGTACAAAAACCTCTCCCCTGTAAAGTCGAAACATACAAATAGCCTAAAGCAGGAGAGTTTATTCCCTTACTGTGGTTTTTTATAGACATTTAATCATTCCGACTCCATTTTAGAGCAGGTTGGATGTATTTTAGAAGCATCCAGGATGCATAATTACGCACTTTTCTTCTCTGTCCATGAAGGTATCATTAAACGCATCTTACGGTATTGATCAAAATAAGGTCTGGGGCACTTTAAGGACTAACAGAATGTACCTTTTAAACGACTTTGGAGATTTAGATTTGAAAACACCAACCAATGAGAAAAGAATCTGACCCCCATAAGGTTGATAGGCTATATAAAACCTCTAGGTTTTCTTGATATCTGATATTTAAGTATAAAACCTAATTAAAATATCTATTTCCATTAAATGCTCAAGGCCTCTGTGGGAGAGGACTGATCTAACACAACTGATTCATAAAAAAATAAAAATAAAAATAACATATAAAACAATAAAAAAAACTCATTCCATTATCAGGTGTGTTCATCAAGGAAAATACAGTGGAGAAAATAACTATCATGTTTCTTATTGCAGTTAAAGATTAATGTGAGCTGTAGCCACTAGGGGGCGTCCAGTATTGGAATAAAATGCCTACGTACATATGCGCGTGCACAAACACAATCACACGTTAAAAAAAAAATACAAATAAAATGATTTAAACTTAATATGACCTGTAAGTCCTTTGTGTGTCCAATGGGAGGATAAACTAACACAAGAAGGTACCTGGACACATGATTATCAACCAGAATAAACTCCATTAACCAGTGCGGCCTCCCTTTGATGGGATCTTCAACTATAAATATGAATTTTGAATCTTTATTGATTTTAACGTCTCTGATGAGTAAACATTTCCTACATTTCTAACTGATCGCATTCCTCATTTTGCATATTATACATAATTTCTCTGAGGATCCATCACGGGGTTTCCTGCAACTCTGACATACATCAAATCGGCTTGTTCCTGTTTATACTAATCAATCGAGATGTTTAAACGCAAATATTTAGACGGAGATCCTGCATCATTAAAAGCCTTCACGCACTCCACTTGTTTACAAAAGGAGAGAGAGAAATGGCAGACCATACCTCTTGGCTTTCTTTCTTTTTTCTTTTTTTGCACAATACACAATACTTTTTTGAGCTGGTTTATTTTTATTATTATTTTCTGATAAACAATTAAAAACAGAGGCAACTGCACTGTTGGAGCAGAAAGTTTTAAGAGCACAAAGTGTTGTCCCCTCCATCTTTTTTTTTTAGCCTCTGTTTTATTTGCAGAAATTACGCACACGCTCCCCACACGAGTATTAACGGCACCAGTCGCTGTTGTCTTTCCGATTTGCAAATTAAATATACAAGCAATTAAAAAACATCCAAACACAATCAATCATGTATACAAATTGTTGTTGCTTTAGGGTTGTAAATTTTGGGGGGGAAAATGAGCTTCCATCAGGGTAGGACGGGTTTAATCCAAATCATTACCATATTTCATTACCTCTGCGGAGCTACAGATGGATGGAGGGGGGTGCTGCTGGTTTGGATACTTTCTTTAGACATTTGTAAGAATGTTGACTCGTGATAATCAGGTGGATGCAAATTGAGACCAATTGCTGTTGTTGTTCCAATGCCCCCTTTTCATCTCCCCTTCCTTTCCTTCCATCCAGCATGAAAACATTTAGATTTTTTTTCTTCCATCTCAGCCACGAAAGGAAAAGGCTATGAAAAATTAATAGCGCATGTTAACTCCACCAGCTCGTTTATTACACGCCCGCTGACTGTAAACATAATGAGAAAAGCTCCCGTATCTTTCCTAAGGTTTTCACTAGCTTATGAAATATATACAAGTCCTCACTAATAAATAAAAAAGACTGTGTATGGACTCGAGAGCGAGGTGCCATACAGGTAAACCCCACAGTGCCTCAGCAGCCATAGGCCTCATCACAGGTTTTCACTCATTAACAACAGACTTTTTCTTCACCTGACATTAATAGGTGTCTTGTGAGCCACTTAATGTCAAAACTAAGACCATACATCTAATATAAGTTCCTGTTCAGAACGTGTTTGCTTCCTTTTTATAGACAGAGGAAGACATAAGCAAACCTTGCAACTTTGCGAGGAGTGCTTCTGCAGGTCATTCATCCCTGCTGCCACCAGACTCTACAATGCGACACTTCAACGGTAGTAACTTATGCAATATATAATGTGCAATTACTTTGTATTACCCTGTGCAATAACCTATTTATTTATATTTCATACACTGTGCAATAGCTACAGTATATCACACCACATGCACCCTTTTCTTCCTTTGGCACCTTATTGTTTTTTTTTTTTTTTTTTGACTATTTAAGCTGATGTAACGATGTAAATTGTGATGTAAACTTCTCCACTGTGAGATCACTAAAGTCAATCAATGAATCAAGACTAGATCAAAGGTGGCCTCATTTGAACTACAGCACCTTTATTCACAGTTATAAAAGTTATATCCACACATGACACGTAGTTAATTAGCCAAAAAGATCTAGTTCTATCTAATTAACAGTTATTCTTACTATATAACACAACCACATAGTCGTTTAATATAATTCCCACATAATCAAATTCAAATGGGTTCCAATAATGGGACAGTAAAAAGTCTAAACAATATAAAATACCAATCAGAAAAAGTAACTGTACTCATCTAAAAGTTATTTCAAAATTTTGTTTTTATGCAAATTCAATCAGATTTTATTTAGTCAAAGCTGGGTTAGAATTTAACCAAAACCAAATGATAAAATAGTATGCATACTCTGCTGGTCATGAAATAAACAAATGACCAACAGTAAATAGGCATCTAGTGCAACTGGCAGTCTTTATATTGATGGTGCTATTTCCTTCTATTATCTATTTATTGAAAGGTAAATACATTTGTCTAAAAGACCTCAATTTAAAAGGTCACTGGCTCCACTCTAAAATTAAATCAGGATTATATATATATATATATAGGCTCAATTAATTTACCTCAACTTATTTAATGTTAATTATTTTTAATTAAATATAAATAGAGAGCGAACTAACCTATTTGTTTGTTTAGTAAAAAAGATAAAGAATAAAATAAAACTTTTTTTTAATCACATCAGACCTAACTTTAAAGGTCTGCATCACTCCTGGAAGTGATTTCTTTTGTCATATTGCTCTGCCTTCAAAAAGTCTGGTGGCCATCTGGCCACCCCCCAACAAAGGTTTGTGGATGCGCCCCTGTAAATGATGCATATTTTTTTTATAACAAAGACAAGAGATTTTACTTTCCTCTAGCATTTTAAATAAATAGTGGGTGTGTTGTGTGTATGTGTGTGTGTGTGTGTGTGTGTGGGGGGGGGGGGGGGGGGGTGCAGCAGTGCTACTATATCTAAGGGCTTTCACCCGCAGAACCCCCCCTTAGGACCGGAGGATGGATCCAACTACTACTTAATACGCGCTCACTCCTATGACCATCCTCGGTAATCTAAGCACGTATCTCAGTGAGAGGTGAATGGAAAGACTTTAAGGCCTTGGCCCTCAAGACTCTACATATCAACAGAGGAGGGCCTCCTTTAAATTCTGATTTCCTCGGTGGTTAGAAAGGTTATTATCCAATCGCCACAAATCCCTTCGCTTTCAGCATTTATCAGCGGCTATAGGTCCTCTGCACAGACAGAAACCGAAGCAGAGGATGGGACATTTGTCTTAAAGACATCTGGACACATCCGAGAGCATATTCCTGAATAAAGGCCATAGATTATTTAAAAACAAGAGGTCTGACTCTGTCTTGAGTCCGTCCTAAACGTGTATCACGCATACCTCATAATAAGCAGCGCTGTAAATACAAGAACGCATCATTAAGTCAGATTTCGTTGCGTTGTAAAAGGAAAGAAACGCGGCATGACAAACAGCCATTGTAGAAAGTGGCCAATCACCTGCCCGCAGTTTCTTAATGACAAACGACGTTTTATCAATGCGGACGCAGCGGGCAGCAATATGAAATGATGTGAGATCCATTGGGTGCCATAACGAGGTCGATGGCTTCATCCATCGCTGTGCCAGACCCTGCTGTTTTATGGAACATTAACCTGTTGAATGAGAGAGCAGCAGTCCACACTCAGAAACATGTGGTCCAGAATGAAATCATCTTTTAAAAGTATCATTTTAAATCATTAAAAATGATTTATCAGGCTCGCAAAATGCAAAGTCAATATTTCTGAGGCAGAAAATGATTGT